TAACCAAGGTCAAACAGAAAATCATTCACGATCTGTAGCATATGTGATAGTAAAGATGTATATCCACAAGGAAATAAGCACTGAATAATAAAACAAGGATGATTTGACAGTACCTTGCTTTCAGGAATTTCAATTCCAACCAAAACTTGCTCCTCTACACCTGCAAGCAGCCACCATGCATCAGAAACTCACCTACCATCGCACCAAAACAACAAGCGAGAGAAGGGCAACACAACATTGCACAAACGAAAAGGCCATCAAGATGGGTTACGTGCCTGCTCGCAGAGTTCTCGTCGGACACGTAGCCTAGGCTCCTGATAGCACCGACAAAGAGGTCATCCTAGGCGGTGGCAGCGGCCAAGCACCCCCATCGCTGGGCACCATCTCCTTCTAATCGGGTTTAGTCCAACTACGAAAAACAGATGTTGAAACTTCAATGGTGGTGATTTGCTTGGTGTGCTTTTGCTTGACTCCTTTGGTCACACATTTTCCTTTGTCTCCTTTTGATTTGTTGGCTTGATTGCCAAGATAATCTAGGCTCCCGATAGCACCGACGAAGAGGTCATCCTAGGCGGTGGCAGCGGCCAAGCACCCCCATCGCTGGGCACCATCTCCTTCTAATCGGGTTTAGTCCAACTACGAAAAACAGATGCTGAAACTTCAATGGTGGTGATTTGCTTGGTGTGCTTTTGCTTGACTCCTTTGGTCACACATTTTCCTTTATCTCCTTTTGATTTGTTGGCTTGATTGCCAAGATAATCTATACATGAGTAAAAGACATCAAGCTTGCAGTTAGCTTTTGCCGTCCTATTAACCTTTCCCCTTTTTAGAATAAACGAAAATGTACATGTGCACATGAATTTGAGAATTGGAGAAAACTCAGTCCGTCCTTATTTTTTTATCCCAACAAAAACTGTTGTTCTAGAAGGCGGCTAAAGTATACCTGATTTTATCTGACAGGCAGACATAAAGAACAAAATCCTAACTCTGTAAAACAATAGTCTACCACAAAATTATGTTATTTCAAAATCCCATGTTTAGTCCTGGTCCATGATGAGTGTTGCTCTCTTCCAGAAAAGACGATGAATGTCATAACAACCTACAGCGAAATTGAGGAGCCTAATTATCTAAATTAAGAGCAAGGATTATCCCAAAAAGGAACTTCTTGCTCCTGCTCAAATCAATCTAATCTAAGACGAGTTGCCGTTTTTTTCTTTTTGAGTGGAAAAAGGAAGCCAGACAGATGAACCTCTCTACCTAGGAAGATTGCAGGAAGGAAAAAAAGAGGCGAACCTGCAGGAGTGTGCAAGGAGGTGGAGCGAGAGGCTAGAGAGAGTCCTGTCGATGCGGAGGAGGAGGAGCGCAAGGGAGTCGTCGTCGAGGACCACGCGACTGCGACGGGGAGAAGGCTGGATGTTGTCGCGGAGGACCAACGCCCCAACCCCCTCATTCCTTCTGGCCGCGGCGGCCGCCGCCGCCTCCTTCTCCTCCTCTCTCTCTCTCTCTCTCTCTCTCTCCCGTGAGCAATGAGGCCAAGGCTGAGAGGAGGCCGGCGATGGGGAACAGAAGGAGTGGGGACAACTCTCGTTCCCGCCGCGGCGAGCGCGCGTACCTGTCCCCGGCCCCGTGGAGGCACCGTGCCCCAGCAGCCTTGCCTCAAGCACCACCAGCAGCTCGCGCGCTCACGTAGCCCAGGCTTCGATAGCACCGACGAAGAGGCGGCAGCGGCGACGGCGGTAGGAGAGGAGGCGGCGGCGGGTGTTGCGGCGGCGGGGGCTAGGCCTGGCCGCTCGCCTCCCCTTTTCTTTTCTCTCGCTCGCCCACGCGGCCCGCTCGCTCCGCAGAGCGCCTCTTTTTCGCACCCGCACGCACGCGTGCAACGCACACTGCACCGATGACCCATGCAGATGCCTGGCCCATGTGTCATCTACTAAACCGCAAAAACACAGAGTAAGCTAGAACTGATGGCTGGATCTTTGACAGCTAGTCAAAAGGTACTGAAAACTTTACAGCGATGCTAATTAGGTGAACCAGATCGAATGCAAAACGCAATGGCCTCGTATGGGCGGGTTGCCTAGAAGGGTTTATATGTTCAATTACTACTATGAGCAGCTACCAAGAGATTAGCTGTCTTTAGCTAGTTCAATAGTAATTTGTAGAGCAATAGCAAAGAGCCCATTTAAATTTGTACATGTTGATTGAATCCTAAATTCCTAATGACATGCCCCCATAGTTCACTTGTCTTGTTTACCGTCTAACAGTAAAAACCATAAGCATCGATTTTGAAGTACTATATGATATGTTAATCAGAACCAAACTATGAACTATCGGTACAACTGTGTTAAAAAGCAATATCGGCACAACACAAGGTCTTAAGCTTTTCTTTGTCGCATTATAATTAAGCTGCAGTTTTTTTTGGATGTTGATTTAATTAGTCAAGTCTGGCGTAGCATAGCCCCCTAGTAATGGGTGCATAAGCATGGATTTAAATAGTCGGGAGGTATGAGACACGCCTATTAGTTCCAGAGAAGGGCCATGCACACGATAAGCTTTGAACGATGCAGAGACGATGGTTAAATCTGGCCGGACGTACGTATGTTTGAACAAGTCGCTGGCCGCTGGATTGTTTTGTCGTCCATAAATCGTGCACTTGTATCGTGCATGGAACAGTTTCGTTAATTCCAACACACCACCACGAATCTCAATCCCGTTTTTCCGACCCTCTCACGAATCCAATGGCTGCGTCTGCGTGATCTGATTTTTAATCCGGTTGTACGCGTACGTGTATGCTAGACCAGTTGTCCTATATCTTCATTATGAATGGCTTTCATGTTATGATTATTGAAGGTACTTTCTTTGTTTTTTTTAGTCTGCATGTAAAATATGGTCAAGGTCAAACTTTGTAAAGTTTGACTAAGTTTATATTAAAAAATATAAACATTCACAACATGCAACCAATATTATTAGATGCATTATGAAGTTTGTTTTCATATTGTATAATTTTAGTATTGTAGACATCTTATATAAATTTGGTCAAACTTTGCTTAGTTTGACTTCAAATAAATCTTATATGCGGAATGGAGGGAATAATATACATATCCATAACATTGACGATAAACGTTGCAATTGGATCGGTTGTTGACCTTCTTTATGTTTTGTCACTGATCATTATTGTCCTAACTAGTATTTTTGGTGATCTAGGAATTCCATGTGCGCGTGGTGAATAGCCAAGTAAAAGATTGAAAAATATCTGATAGGGAGCGACAAAGCGATCGACCGATGCGGACATGCATAACCATCAATCTAAAACTTCCAGAAAATTTTGCGGCACCATGAACCAACCTTTGGTTGGATGGTTAGGAGAACAGTGATATTCCCATCCCACCGGGTTTAAATCCTGATGCTCGCAATTATCTTGAATTTATTTCAGAATTTCCGGCGACACATTTTTAGTGGGAGAAAACGTTCCCGTCAACTATGAGGCGCCCACGATGACTTTGTAAAATCTCAAGATGACATGCCGCAGTCTCTCTGAGGTGCTCATAGAAGTAACATATGCGTGTATGCGTTTATACGGATGAATGTATGCGCGTATATACTAGCATTTGCATCTGTACTATGTTAAAAAAATTGTGTGGCACCATCAGCGTCACCGTTTACTATGAGAGACCTACACACAACATAGACTGCACATAAGCATCAAAAACCGAAATGGGTCAGCAGCTAGCTCAGCTCACACATTTTGTTCTTCCACTTGTAGGCGTTAGTAGGAGGAGGAGATGCGTTACTTGGCGTGCCACTACTTTTCTTCCTCCAAAACAAAGTTAAAATTAGAAAGTATCAAAAGGAAATGCAAGAATGGCACTCTGAATTTCTCACGCAACCACACCATACCATACTGCGTGCGCAGCATGGCCAAGGGGTGCGTTCATCATCATCTTCATCGTCTTTTTCTTCCATGGATGCCATAAAATATGTAATAGTTGACCTACACCAACACAAGCCCATGAGACCTATATAAATATCTAACATTCAGAATGGAATCCTGTGTCTAAACATATAAATTTAAAACAATACTAATATCTACGATGCAAATACTATAAATAAGTGAATAACACTAGTATGTATAAATAAAAAGAAACATCAGTACAGTGTGTGACCAAGTCTTAGTTGACTGACACTTAATCAAGTCTCAGTCAAATGACATAGTATATGAGAAGAAAGAAAAAACTAAGAAGAATTTTTTTGTATGAATCTTTATGCAAGATCAAAGGAATAAAGCATCGACTGAGACATAACAAAGTCTCAGTCGAGTAAGACTTAACAAAACTGATTGAACAATATAATGTAGTCCCTTCATCTCATAATATAAGATCGTTTTGCCAGCCAGTTAGCTTAGCCATACCCATACTCACACTCACCTCCAGCTCCTCTCCTCGATCGGCTCCTCGATCCTATATAACACACGCACTTGCCTCTGCTGCTCCATTTCCAGTCTTTGGCTAAGCTACTACTCTACCTAGCTAAGCATCTTCTTCATTTTTTTCGGTGGTGATCGGATGGAAAGTGCGAGGAGCTGCCTCATGGAGGACGTGAGCAGCGGCGCGTCCACTGGCAATAAGGCGTCTGCGGTGCCGGCCGCGCCGGCGACCAAGCCGCTGCAGCGCGTGGGCAGCGGGGCCAGCGCGGTCATGGACGCGCCGGAGCCCGGCGCCGAGGCGGACTCCGGCCGCGGCGGGCGGCTGCCGTCGTCCAAGTACAAGGGCGTGGTACCGCAGCCCAACGGGCGCTGGGGCGCGCAGATCTACGAGCGCCACCAGCGCGTCTGGCTCGGCACGTTCACAGGGGAGGCCGAGGCCGCGCGCGCCTACGACGCGGCGGCGCAGAGGTTCCGCGGCCGCGACGCCGTCACCAACTTCCGCCCGCTCGTCGAGTCCGACGCGGACGACGCCGCCGAGCTCCGCTTCCTCGCCGCCCGCTCCAAGGCCGAGGTCGTCGACATGCTGCGCAAGCACATCTACCCCGACGAGCTCGCGCAGCACAAGCGCGCATTCCTCGCCTCCGCGGCGTCGTCCCCTACGTCGTCGTCGTCAGCTCCCGCCTCGTCGGCTCCTTCAGCCGCGGCGCCCTCCGCGGCGACGCGGCGCGAGCACCTGTTCGACAAGACGGTCACGCCCAGCGACGTGGGGAAGCTGAACCGGCTGGTGATCCCGAAGCAGCACGCCGAGAAGCACTTCCCTCTCCAGCTCCCTTCGGCCGGCACCGCCGTGTCTGGCGAGTGCAAGGGCGCCCTGCTCAACTTCGATGACGCGGCCGGCAAGGTGTGGAGGTTCCGGTACTCGTACTGGAACAGCAGCCAGAGCTACGTGCTCACCAAGGGGTGGAGCCGTTTCGTCAAGGAGAAGGGCCTGCACGCCGGCGACGCCGTAGTATTCTACCGCTCCGCCTCGGGCAACAACCAGTTCTTTATCGACTGCAAGCTCCGGTCCATGACGACGACGACGACCTTCGTCAACGCGACGGCGGCCACCACGTCGCCGGCACCCGTGATGAGGACCGTGCGTCTCTTCGGCGTCGACCTTCTCACTGCGCCGGCGTTGAGGCACGCGCCAGAGCACGAGGACTACGGCATGGCCAAGACAAACAAGAGATTCGTGGACGCCAGCGTAGCGGCGGCCACTCCGGCGCACGCGGTCTGGAAGAAGCGGTGCGTAGACTTCTCGCTGACCTATAGTCATGCCACCACCTCACAGTGCCCGACGTCAAGAGATCAACTAGAAGGAATACAAGCAGCAGGGAGTACATTTGCTCTGCAGACTTGTCACCATTCGCCACACAGTGCCCGAGGTCAAAAGAGCAGCTGGAATCAGCAGCGCAAATACTCTTGACCGACTCACATTCACGTAGCAGGATTTTTTTTGAAAAAACTTCCGATGTGCTCATCAAACTTTATGTATAAAGAGCATCAGTAATAGAAATTGCATGCAGTCTCATAGACCAACTAGCAACGACTACAAGCATTGGAATAAGCCCAAGGTGCATCGCCGTCATCTCTCCTTTTTTATCGAAGCTGGGCAAACCTTGTGGCAGTAGACAACCGGGAGGTCGTTGTCCTAAGGCCCCACCGGACCAATGCACCAGTACAACAATGGTCGCTGACGAAGAGAAGCATAAATCCCGCGAATGTAGACACATGAACGCATACGAATGAAGGTCAAATCCAAGTTGAACAACCGTAGACAAACACTAACTAAATCCTGCGAGATCCGCCAGAGACAAACTTGCAGAACTCTCCGATGAGAGTAGCATCGCCGGGATGGGGGCTAAGCAGCGAGAATCTTATTCCATCTTTGAGGGAGCAGGCCATCGCCTAGTCTTTCCGGGCAGGTCAAAATCCAAATCACACACAACAAAACATTTAAAAAGAAAGCAGGAGCCCTTCCGCGAGCCTTGCTGAGAGTTGCATGGTGTTTACTCCAACTATTAGTTACACCCTCTGTTCCTAAATATTTGTCTTTCTAGAGATTTTAACAAGTGACTACATACGGAGTAAAATAAGTGAATCTATACTCCAAAATATGTCTATATACATCCGTATATGGTAGTCATTTGAAATTTTTAAAAAGACAAATATTTAGAAACGGAGGGAGTACATGACAGTGATCTGACCAGGAGCCCTGATGCATACCAACTTGCGTATTTCATTCATGTTAGTATTGAAGTTAATATTCAGTAAACCAAATATTAACCAGCATTTTCATAGTACATTGTCAAGATAGTGTCCAACCGGGAGAATATCATACGAAAACCTTCTAAAAAAACTTTGTGGAAACCATGTTTGAGAATTCCAAAAAAATCAGAGAAAAAAATATGGGATGTTAGGAGGATGATGTTCTATTCTCATGTGAAATTTCATGTGAAACACATCACGGGATGTGAGCTATAAAAATGACAAATTCAGCAATGAATAGTGACGTTACTGTTTTGCACTATTCAAGACTGATTTGGGTTTTTTTTTTGAGCTCATATCTCGTAATGTGTTTGAACTTGAAATTTTTCTAGGTAATAGAACATCACTCTCTTAACATCCCATTTTTTCGAAGTTTTAAAAAAATTCGAAACATCGTTCTCATGTGGTTTTCACCGGTTTAAACGAATGTTGGTTTCCGTATGATATTTTCTCGTGTCAAACCAGCCCATATAGTGTTGAGGGCATATGCGTTTGATCGACTCATGTCGGGCAACACTTTATCTCGCCAGCAGTAGCGAAACAGAAGCAAGTCTCGCCTCAGCAAGCATCACGCGTCACTACTATTGGGCCGGTCCAGTAGTAGCTCCGGGCATGTGCATTCATTTCTTTCTTCTTTGCTTCTTTATTCATCAGTTATTTTTTTGTTTTATTTTATTTATATATTTTTAAAAATATTTTAAATACATATATTCCAAAATAAAAAAGTTAAACACGCAGTAGAAAAACATCTTAATGCATAAAAAAGTGTGTGCTTAATTTCTAAAAATGTTCAAACTCTTCAATAAAATTTCCTTGACGTATAAATGTTCATGCGCTCCTATAATATGGTTGTGATTGTTTTCAAATGTTTATAAAATGTAAAAAACTTCCATGTAATTTAGAAAAAAAGGTACATAATGAGGATCTTTGGGACATTTTAAAAAAAGTTAACGCATTACAAAATATGTTTGTGATTTCAAAAAGATTATTACACAGTGGCTAAACAATTGAGTGATTTAAAAAAATGTTTTTTTATCGTCCAACCAAATGTTCAACATGTATTTTAAAGAAATTAACGTATATTCAAAAAAATTAACATGTAATTGAAAAAAATTCAAACATATATTCCAAAAAAGGTTCAACATGTATCGAAAAAATGTTCCACGTGCATTTGAAAAATTATCAACATATATTTGAAAAATATTTATCACTTATTTTATAAATGTTCCAGGTGTATCTGAAAAATGTTTCACATGTATTAGAAAATGGTCAACCTGTATTCAAAAAATATTAAAGGTTCATTTAATCTTTTTAATGTATTCAACAAAATTTTCAATGTTCAAAAACAGTTCAATGTTTTTCATAAAGTTATACAGAGGTATATGAAAAATGTAAAGGGTATACTAAAAAAGTGGACATGTAAATGCAAATAAAAGAAAAAAAGGAAAAGGAAACCTAAAAATAAAGAAGTCTTAAGAAAAATCGGCAAAAACGTAAATAAAAACAGAGAAAAAATAAAAAGAAAAGAAAGATGTGGAACCACCCTAACAACACACTAGCCAAAACCAGTGGAAAGTTCCATGAATCAGTATTCAGGACATCCACGTGAAACACTTCATTGGGCCAGCCCAATTGGATGACGAAATAGATTGTGCTATTGGCGAGGTGGAGCTATCTCTCGCTGCATGACTTGCGACGTTCTAAGCGTGGAACATGATTTTCCAGCTTTTCCCAAGGACACAGCCGTGCAAGCGACCATGGTCACATGCAGCAGATCCTACACCCACAACACCTTGAAGACAACAACATAACAAAGGAGGTTCAAAAGGGGTCCTTACGGCTTGCAACAACGTGGCTACTTTGACTACTGACTTTACGGTCACTAGTTCTAGGCCCGTCACATTCATTGGACACAATGTTGCATGTGATTGTGAAAGTACAGTGAAAGATATGCGATGGCACAGATGGGAATTATGAAGCAATCGCGAGGGGGATTATTGCTATAAAGTCTGAGTTTGCATCAGGTGTATAGGGCCGAATTACATTTTTTGTTATCAAAGTACATTGCAAGCGTATCATTCCAAAAAATAATTGTTATTGCCTATCTTTCTATCTATGTAAAATTTGACATGCAACCAATACAAATTTTCAAAAGCCCGTGGCAACGCACGGGCGGTCTACTAGTTGCTATAAAGTTTGAGTTTGCAATGTGCAATTTTAGTCATGAAGATAGGAAGAGTAATTATGAGCTCATAATTCATCTAAGTTTTCTTTATCTCTAGATGTAGGCCGCCATATCTAGCTTGGCGTCCCTCACGATATTGTAGTGGTGCCCTTGAAAATAGTTGTTGAATAAAGTGAAGTGAGGATCTCTCCCGACAAAAAGGAAACAACATGTGTTTAAGACGTATGTTGCGTGTGTTTTTTCTCTTGTTCGGTATGTAGTAAGATTTCTTCCGTTTTGGCTTTAGTGCTATGGTGACATTGCTCAAATGTTGTGTCGAATAAAAGTCATATGGCTCCAATCTCGTCTCGGTAGCACTTGGTCTGGTGCTGCCAAAGAGCTCGTGAGTTTTTGTCTTCACCAATCTTATTGGAAGACGGGTTGGTGCTTGTTGTTGTACTTTGGCATGGCTCTGTTGCATAGTTGGTGACAATCTCATCTTATCTTATTCAAGATCCCTTTTGTTCTACCCTTTGCGAGTATGGTAGTCGTGTTTGTCTAGCGATACTGGCACGACTGTTCACCTAGCTAGATCGCCTTTGCAGACTGCTAATCTCTGTTGTGCACCTTGTCCTACTTTTGCGGTGGCGATTCAACAAGGTTTGCTCCTCAATAGGTCGCTGGTGGTACTTTCTCCAAGTTGTCTATTGTTCTGTGTGAGTTATTCTCATTGTATCCAATAATCTTTTATGTTATAGCATAAGCCAAATTTGATTACAAAAAACTTTTTTGGGTGATTATGAAAAACTTGTCTGGGTGTGTTTCAAAGATATTTCCTCCATCTCATAATGTAAGACGTTTTTCACGAAGGGAGGACAAACTTGGCAACCAGAGAAGTTACGTAAACGTAGTACATTTTACTACATTTGTTTAGAGAGGGAGTAGTTACCGCGTGTAAAAGTCAAGGAAATGGACCGTGTAGCTTTGTTTGACCACCAGAGATAAAAATGGGAGAGCGTACTGCATGGGTGGTCCATAGAGATAAACCGGAGGGAATGGGCCATGGCGACTGCAACTTGGCAGCTTCTAATTACCACGTATCCGTGGAGTATGACTACGGCGATCTCGGACAACGGAGCCGGAGACTGGGCGAAATTACCACGCCAGTTCGCCGGACAATCTGTCGGTGTTTGGCCCCGGGCCTCTGCCTCTGCTGTAGCCTGTACAGCACGACCTGCCTCTGAGTTTCAGACTGCCATACCAGAAGCCCAGTACATTATACTGGAGGAAGAATGAGCTACCGGTTTCCTCACCATGCATACGTACTACTCCCTTCGTTCCTAAATATTTCTCTTTCTAGAGATTTCAACAAATAACTACATGCGGAGCAACATGAGTGAAACTACACTCTAAAATATGTCTATATACATCCGTA